TCTAATGTACAGTCACCCAATGCATTATATATGCTTTTTAATACAGTATTGTACATTGTGTCAATGTTTGTCTAGCTGTCTAGATGACCTTCATGGTCTACTGTATTAATTTTTCTGCCTTTAGATTATAGAGTCCCACATGTGAGGTCTTAATTTCTTTTACTTTATACAGTTAGAAAGAAATGGGAACACAGACATAAATGGCTCAAGCACATTTGATCACCATGATGATGACATTGTTATATAAATGGATTGCTAGCCTCATATAAAAAGCTAGAGGCCTCAGTAACTTAGGAATCTAAGGTTATATGATTATATTTTGTTGCTCCACATTCTAAGTTAAAAAAAAAAATCAGAAGATTTTATTAGCCAAGAGTTCTCAACTAAAAATATCACAAGAAATAAAAACACGGAAAAATCACAACATGTTTTTTTTTTTTTTACCAGCACACAAACTGAACCCTGAAAATAATCAACAAATTAGGTAACTACCAAGTAAAATAAGGTTATGATTAATTAAAATGTTCTTTTGTTTAGCACATTTGGCCTCTATGCCTAAAGAACATAGAGGGATATTTATTTTCACTTTATACTTTTTTCCACTAGCACCTAACAAAATAGAAAGATATTTGTGAAAATAAGTGTTTGGGTCAAAACAGATGTGATACATAATATATGTGATCCCACATACCTCATTTGTCTCTATGTTTGTGTTCCTCAACCCCCTACAATAGAAAAAGGGTATGAAAATAAAGATAAAGAAGCAAAAGATGTTACAGAAACCAACTGAAATCTATAGGCGTAAGTAAAGATGGCTGTCTACAGGGCCTTTAAAATAATTTTTAATTATTAGTCTCTAGTCCCTTCTCCACATCCATTCTCCCTCTAAGAAAAACAGTTCAAATTCCTTAGCTCTTATCTCTGATATTTGTCACTAATATTTGGGTTTTATAAAAGTTAATTAGTTTGAAAATTGCTAAGACTCAGTGTTTCTGCCACGTCCACATTAGCCCAGCCCTGAAAGCACCGCTCATCTCTGGCACAGCAAGCTCATCTCCCAACTGCCACAGAGCTGGACAGAAATCAGGTTCACAAGAAAAAGAAGAGTCACCCAGGTGGAAAGCAGCCAACAAAGATTAGAAACAGAGGTATCTGCCAAGGCTTTCAGTCACCCAATGCATCATATATACTTTTTAATACAGTATTGTACATTGTGTCAACGTTTGTCTAGATGACCTTCATGCTCTACTGTATTAATTTTTCTGCCTTTAGATTATAAAGTCCCACATGTGAGGTCTTAATCCATTTATTTTACTTTATATAGTTAGAAAGAAATGGGAACACAGACATAAATGGCTCAAGTACATTTTATTACAAGGAGCTAAAAAAAAGAATGATAGATCTTGTACACGCTCCTTTCTCACAGTGTAAAATGCAAGAATCTCTGAAAGTGTTGAGCTGTTGCCAAACAGTTGCATCATAAATTGTTGTATTACCAGAATAAATCCTTTAAACTCTCTACTTCAGTCTCCTCATCTCTGTGACAATTATATCAGTAATTTAAAAGTTGTAGAATGTCTAATCAAATGTCTAATTCCTCTTTGCCAGGTTTGAGAAAAGCCAAAGTTTACTACCAAGAAACACCATTTTTTTTTTTAAGCTAAAGGTCCCAAAATAAACACTTAAAACTCATTGATGAGCACAAATGTGGAAGATCATTCACACAAAACACCTGGATAACTCCTTCCGCACACTTGCAGCCGGGCTGCTGCTCTCACCTCAGTCCCAAGTGTTCTCACTGTGGCCACTCTCTCCACAGAAGGTCATTCGTTGGAAACACCCTCCACAGAGCCGCAGGACTTCAGTCACAAGGCCTGAGGGGGGCTGCTAGGGACCAGGGGAGGAGGGCCTGGAGCCTCCTGCAGCGGCCACCCTTGCCCACCTCCCAGCGGCTGAGCCATCAGCTGAGGAAGCCCGGTGGCTGGGGAATTCCACCATCCCTCCTACCTTGCAACTCACACTTCCAGCTGGCACAGGCTCCCCAGGGCCCCTTTCCAAAACCAAGACTATTCCTTGGAAATGGTGACAGATTTCATATTGGTTGAGTAAACAAATATGTTAATAGAATAACTATACAGTATATCTATGTAACAAAAGTTTATACAAACTTTTTAAAGTTTGATTTATAAATTGGGCATGGTAAGAGATTAACAACAACAGCTAATAATAAAAGAGAATATAACAACAGACTAAAAAATGTTATGTGAATGAGGAAACAAAAGAAGAATTCTGCAAAGTGGGAAAGGGTTGCAAGAAGGAAGAAGATAGAAAGCTAGTCTGAGAATTCTACCTCAGCTGTCACTAAGGAGCAGGAAAAACTAGAAAAAAATAACTTATTTATCTGCAAAATCAGAGGTAAACATTGTCATGTGTATTCAATAACTGGTGATTCAATCATAAAAATTTAATGATACGATTTTTTGGGGGAAAAACTACCATTTCTGATTGTCAGCCCCAAGCTCCCTTTGGTTGTAAAATGCTTCAAAATCTGTACATAGAAATAAGTTTTAGAAGTTGTATTTTTCAAATAAGGAAAATTCAGGTAACACCAATTGGCTTCTCCATATGCCTATTTTAACTTTAATTTTGTTTCCTGTAGTCAAAACTTTTTCCTTCTATTGCCCTTGAAGTTACACATTATTTCTTTTGTATCTCCATTTAAGATTTATGTTTCTTAAACTATCTAACCAAACATTTTTCCACTAATACTCATTAATCTTAATATCTTTTGCTTTTAGAAAATCACTAAGAAATCAGGTTATTTGAAGGTAAATCTTCCATTTTCATTGATATGGATGTGAGTGATGACTTTTATTGTTTACTAGATAACAACTGCCTTTCCTGAGAAATCTATGCAATAATCTCTTCTGGAAGCTTCTGTGTCCCAGGCCCCTAACTACTGTGAAATATTGAAATTATAGTGGAAATTCCATGTGGGAGCCAGACTACAGCAAGAAATTAGAATGGGACCCCTAAGACACATCCTATTTATGAATTATAATGATTTTGCCCCAGACTAAGCAAAACGAAGGGATGGAAACGTTACCTATGGGGCACCTGCCTGAGAGGGTATCTATACAGTTGTCCCTCAAAGCTCTTTTCCAACACTCATGTTGCAATCTGTAATATGTCCCTCTGACATAAAAAAAAACTTGCTAAATATACTCATGTAGTTTCCCATGATAACCAGCTTTCGATGTAAAACCCTGCTGTAGTTTTCTCAATCGACATGTACTGAACAATAGTCTTAAGGTGAACCTATTTGGAAAACCAAAATCTAGATTTAAGAAAATAATTTAATAATTTGGAATTTAATTCTGAATCATTCTAAACATGACAACAGTTGTCTTTCTCAACTTTCCTTTATACTGTTTTATTTCTATTTTGTCCGTAATAATGTCACCATTTTAAGAACCAAATTAAATATAACCATAGGAGAGCCTCTTCCTGTTTCTGTTTTGAAGTTTTTCTTCAATACTGTTTCAGGAAGTATTTAGTGAAGCTATATGGTATAGTAGTTAACATGGGCTTTGGGGTGAGAGAGACTCAAATTCCAGTTCCATCATTAATATAATTGTGGATATCCTTTCTAAATTCTACTTTATTTTTCCATTTAAAAGGGAGAGTAATACCCACCCAAGGGTAGCTGCAATCAAAATGAGATAATGTGTGTAAACCATATAGCACACAGCCAGGCACATAGTAATTAAGATACAGCAGCTAGTATTTCAGATATAGACATACACTGAAAATCTGGAATATGAAGAAAAAAATTCTTAATTTTACCATCTTAGAATTATAAACATGATTCCTTTGTAATTCTATCCACATAAAAATTAATTTTTACATTATTATAATTGTAATACACAATTGTATATCTTTTTTAACATTACAATCACTTTTCCATGTTACCATGTATAGTTCATAATTACCTTTTAAATTTTTTTCTGAGATTTCATTAAGTTCCATAATTTAGCCACTAAATTTCTGTCAAATATTTGAGGTGTTTACAAATCATGCCATAATAACATTTTCACGTCTATAGCTTTTCCATCTAGCGGAATTCTTTCCTCAGGATGAATTCTCTAAGCAGGCTTTTTTAGGGTAAGCATGATCTCTTTCATGACTTTAAGAGTTTTCTTAAACTGCTTTCCACAAGTTTATAAAACTTGTTGTTCCTCCACCAATGTGCACATGTCATATTGTCCTTGCTAACCTTCAGTATTAATACTAACATGTTACATTTACTGAGTATTTCCATATGACAAGCACTGATCTGAGTGCTTTACATGTACCATGTCATCATCCTCACAACAAATCTCTGATGTAACCACTATTAGTCATCCTCTTCCATAGATGAGGAAGCTAAGGTTCACAAAGTTTATAAGCCATGTCCAAGGTCACACAGCAACTAAATGGTAGTATCTAAACTAAACGCAGAACCTGTCTAATGCCATGGTGCTCTTAATCACCTGGCTATATTGCTGCTTTACTCTTCCACCACCATCTCCCACTTAAATAACAGGTTTAAAAGATCTTCACTGATGTTTTAATATGCAGCTTGTTGATTACTGGCAAAGTTGATCATTTTTACATGTTTATTTTAAAACTGTATTTTTTTCTTATGTTATTTGTTCATAAGCAATTTCTGTAATGTGATGGGGAAAATTCTGTTCCTCATGTGCTTTTTACCAATTGGGCATGTCAACAAAATTTCTCACAAGAGGCCCAGGTCCCTTCTTGATGACCCCTCTGAGCTGTCAATTTGTAAGGGTTTTTTTGTGAATATGTAATCCAAACAACCTGACCATCATTCAAAACGTACGTCTCATCACATACAGAAACATCATTAAAACACCATCTATGTTTTACTAAGCAAAACTGGATTTACCTAATAAATCTAAATTCTAATAATCCTATTTTAAAATATGCTCCATTACCTGCATTATGTCTTGCAATATACCCAAGTGCCCAGGCTGCAGCCTCCTTGACTCCAGGGTCAAAATCTTCCAAGCATATGACCAGTGTATCCAGTGCTCCACAATCAACTATTGCCTGAGCTAGCTGGGGAGAATGTTTACCAACTGCTCGTAACACAAAGGCAGCTGCTTTCTTGTAGAAGCGCTACAAGGGCCAAATAGACAAAACCCAAAATCAATTGAGCACTTAGATAACCAAAATCTAAAATAGACCAAAACTAACATAAAATAACATTAATATAAATAAAGCTCAACAGCTTTTGAATATAAAAGATGAAAATCATCGTACAAAATAATTTTTGATTATTTGATGTTCCCTCATTGCTTCTGTTCAGTAACTAAACTGAAAACAAGGTAGGTTTTACATTGTATTTCAAATGTTTTACCGTGAAGCATGCATTTGGAAATTGTGTAAAATAAATTATAAAGATATCTTCCACAAATTCATAAAATAATGAGATTTTATGTATTTGCATTATACCAAAATGTATTGTTTGACCCTTGGGAACTCTTGGATTGTTAGCATGTGCAACTAAGTTCACTGCCAACTGACTAATTCATTTCCTTTACTTGCCCTGAGTCTTTGAGTGTGGTAAGCCTTTCATGACCTCAACTAATCTTTCCGGCGTCCCAAGTTATTCTGAAATAACAACCATGTTCCAAGATATGCTTACCAATCATCAAATACACATAAAGGCAAAACATTAACGACACATTTAAAAACTTTCTTGGTAAATAAATCCGCCAAACAATGAGATATAAGTTATTTATTTTCTCTAGAAATGCTTTTTTAAAAGATAAAAACATATTACTTATCATTTTGTAAATTTTGAATACTACTTCATATTTTTATTTCCTATAGATACATTTTATCTGACTAAGGAATGAGTAAATGAAAGTGAAACACAAGACTAACATGTTTCTCTTCACATCACTAAAAACATTAAATGTATAGGAAATATGTGGCTGTGATACTGTGGTTTTATGGTCAGCATAATGACACAGTGATGGTCTCCTCTTTCTGTTGTTAATAAAACCCAATTAATCCCCTATTTTAAATTCTAAGTTTCTATTTCTTCACAGTGACTACTAAAAAGTGATTAGTTGACTACAACATTTAATTTGAAAACATTCTATTCACTTAGACTATAATATTGATACAATGAAAATTACAGGAGAAAAAAGCACATCAAGTATATATTAAACATAGTATATCCTAAAACTTGGTATATGTTGCTAATATAAGAAATATGCTGTGTTAGTACTGAGTTTTTGACATATTTTCTTTAGTTTCTTAAATTATATAAGTAACTAAATTTCTACTAATTTACTGTAAAAATTAGTATAGAGTTTTGCAGTAGGTTTCCATAGATCATTTTCTTACAATTGTGGGGGAAAAATGGTGATACATTTATTTTCATTACCTTAGCTAATTTGACTTTTTATACTGCAGAATTGTCAAATTTACAGACCATTTATGGGCATCAACAGTCACTATTAACTACAGTGCCTATAACTCACACTTTCTGATCTCATTCCCTCTTTCTCCTAATTTTCACTTCCCCCAAATTCCTAACCCTCTTCTCTCCCATTCCAGACCAAAAGAAATCCTTTTTTAAAAAAAAGGAAAACCACAGGACTTTGTACCTCATAAAGAGGAGATTAAATCTCCTGTGAGAAATGACTTAAAGGCTGGTAGGTGAGGGAGACAGAAGCTTGTACAAAGGCCTCATGTTTTTACTGCCTCCTCACTTTTCTGCGCTGGTGCTTTTCTGTCTCTCTACAACTAATTAACATTCATTCAACTTAGAAAACTTCTACTGAAAATCTTCTATGTGCGATACCAGGATACAGACATTGCTCTCAAAAGAAAGAGCTAAAGTCCAAGAAGAAGAAAGTCCAACAGTATTTGGTGATAGAAGGAATATCTACAAGAAAAATACAATTTCTGTGACACCTTGTACAGCTGTAACAGGCATTAGTAAATGACTCTGTAGACCAGTTGCGGGGGCTAACACCTATAATCCCAGCACTTTGGGAGGCCGAGGTGGGCAGATCACCTGAGGTCAGGAGTTCAAGACCAGCCTGGCTAATGCGGTGAGCCTGTTTCTACTAAAAATACAAAAAATTAGCCAGGCATGGTGGTGCGCATCTGTAATCCCAGCTACTTGCAAGGCTGAAGCAGGAGAATCACTTGAACCCGGGAGGGAGAGGTTGCAGTGAGCTGAGATCGTACCATTGCACTCCAGCTTGGGCAACAAGGGCGAATCTCCATCCCCCCCCCCCCCCCCCCAAAAATGACTCTCGTCTATAAACAGGGCAAATTTCTGTACCATTAGGATTTATTTTTATTCCGGCAAAATATACATAACATAAAATTTACCATTTTAACCGTTTTAAAGTATACAATTTAGTGGATTTAGTGCATTCACAATGTTGTGCAACTACCACCACTGCCTAGTTCTGGACTATTATCATCACCCCAACAAGAAACTCCTTACAAATAAAGCAGTCACTTCTCATTCCCTTCTCCCTCCAGCCCCTGGCAACTACTAATCTGCTTCTGTCTCTATGGAATTGCGTATTCTGGACAGTTCCTATAAATGGAACCATACATTCTGTGGCCTTTTGTGTCTGGCTTCTTGCACTTAGCATAACGTTTTTATGGGTCATCCATGATGTAGCCTTTTTCTCAATATTTTATTACTTTTATGACTAATAGTCCATTGTATGGATATACAACATTTTGCTCACCCATTCATCTATTGATGGACTTAGGTTGCTTTTACCTTTTGGCTACTGTGGATGCTGCTGCTATGAACATTTGTGTGCAGGCTTTGCTGGAGCATCTGTTTTCAATTCTTTTGGATATAGAACTAGGAAAAGAACTGCTGAGTCACATGGTAACAACTGTTTTACTGATTACGGACCTGCCAAAGTGTTCTCACAGTGGTTGCCCCCATTTTACATTCCTACCAGCAATGCATGAAAATTCAGATTTCTCCATGTCCTCACCAAGACTTATTATTTCCTTTTTATTTTTTATTATGGCCACTCGAAAAGGTAATAAGTGATACCTTGTTGTGGTTTTGCATTTCTTAATGACTAAAGCTGTTGAGCATCTTTTCTTATATTTCTTGGCCATTTGTATACATTCTTTGGAGAAATGTCTATTAAAGTCCTTTGCCCATTTTTCTTTTTCTTTGTTTTTTNTTTGAGATGCAGTCTTGCTCTATTGCCCAGGCTGGAGTGCAGTGGTGCAATCTGGGCTCACTGCAACCTCTGCCTCCTGTGTTCAAGCAATTCTCCTGCCTCAGCTTCCCAAGTAACTGGGACTACAGGCACACACTGCCACATCCAGCTCATTTTTTTAATTTTTTATTATTTTAGTAGAGACAGGGTTTCACTGTGTTTCTCAGGCTGGTCTTGAAATCCTGAGATCAGGCAATCTGCCCACCTCAGCCTCCCAAAGTGCTAGGATTAATTGTCTTGTCTTTTTGTTACACAAATACGGATTTAATCCCAAAAATATGTCAAGAAAGCTGTGTCCCTAGGTCATAATAAACTAACAGAATAGAATGAACAGCCCAAAACCTACCTACAGGTGATCCTTAACTATTGTAGAAACCAAATAGCTGGCACTGTATAGAAATAAAAGTGGTACATGATAACGGGGGAAATAGGGCACCTTTAGACAGTGCTTAACAGAGTCAACATTCCTTTAGCTTGGTAAAAACCATGTATCAAACCTTCCATTACACACATGTATTCTCTTCTACTTTTTGGTTGCTTCTCTACCCCTTGCTTCAAGGGTGTCTCTCACTATTTCCCTTAACTTGGTTTCACCAGCATATAAGGATTGCTGAAATCAACAATTTGTCTAGGGTCCATATGCTTCCCTAAGACAGATCTGATAGCTCTGTTTAAAACTCCCATATACAGAAATGCTGCTTTATATATAATTTCTCCTAAAAAATATATTTTCTCCTTATATTATCAAAAAAAGAAAAATGGTGGTTATCAGCACCAATGCAAAATACGCTAAAAATACTATTGCATGCGGCTCAGAGAATTAAAGATTGTGTTAACCCCCTAATAATTCTGATGCCTACAGGCTTGCAAACTGTATCCAAACTGTCACATTTTTAAAAGTCTAAAACAAAAAAACATATAACTAGTTTTTTAAAATTCTTACATTCTGTTCTGCCAGTGAATAAACAAGCTGTGGAAGAATGTCACCCTTCACAACAGCTTCTGCGAGGTCGTCATTATAATTGGCCAGTCTCCCAAGAGCCAAAGCAGCAGTCTGTTGAATTGTCGGGACCACATCCAGAAGAAGAGGCCTCAGCAAAGACATTACACCTTAAATTATGAAAGATCAGAAATCAGCAGAATTTAAATTAAAAAGCAAAAATGCAATTCGGCATATATGCAGACAGTAAAATTAAAGGGAAAAAAGTCAGCGAAAACAAATCTATTCACTAAAAACTAATAGGAAATTTAGAAGTACCTACCTGACCAAGACACAGAATAATACAAGCTATCACTATTAAACATTCAGTACAGCATGGAAATAAGAAAGACTTTGGATTTAGGTAAAAATACCTGATTCATCAAGTACTGTCTATGTGACCTGATAGGCTTGTCATGAGGCATGCAGAGAAAGGTTGTAGAGTATGCTATGATGTCTAACACAAAAAAGGTAGGGCTTCCCCCCAGACTTTGCAAATCTTAACTTTCAAGTCTCATTTCAGGGCTTCACCTACATATTATATCCAAATAAATTTCTTGGAGATAAGGACATATATTACTGGTTCTCATCATATTCATCCTAGGGTTGAATGTATAGTAGGTAAATCATCATCATCACCATGATAGCAACAATAGTAAAAGTAGCTCATATTTATCAAGCACTTATTATATGCAAGCACTGTCCTAAAAACTTTTTTCCATAATAATTCATTTAACTTTTATAACAAAACTATGAAGCAGGCCCTACTATTACATCTATTTTATAGACAAGAAAATTGAGACTGAGAAAAGTTAATTGTTACACAACTAATGAATGGTGAAGCAGGGTTATAATTTAGACTTTTTTACTGATAACTGTTAAATAATATATATGGAAAACTGAGAAGATGGGAAGAGAGAAAACAGTAATAATTGCCTTGTAGTCATTTTACTGGATATTCCAACTCTTTCTATTAACTTTGCCTTACTATAAAATCTGCAAAAGAGTCAACTGCTATTTCTGTTTTAATGATGCTGTTTTAGTCTAAGATTATAAGAAAGGTAGTGACAGAATTCAAACTATAACAAAGTACCTCTTGACTTTCTACACTTTAATTTACACCAGTCTATTTAATTAAATATCATTAGCTCTTTTCTTTAAAAACATATCCCAGTTACACATAAAAGCAAATATTGCCAATATTCTTTTATAGTATTATATGCAGAAACATTTGAAATAGAACAAAAAGAAAACATTTACAGTAACACCTAAACACTTGATCTTAGCCAAAAGCCAAGAAGTCATTACACTAACACTTAGGATTAGACCAAAATAAGAGTACTAGCAAATAACATAAGCAGAGAGCAATGATGCTTATCACAGACACATTTAAAGATGTGGCCTGTGGATTTTCCTAGTTTCCAGTTTTACTTAGTCATTAGTTTTGTGCCTAAGTTGGCTAGGTTAGATCATCTATTACAGTTGCAGGTGTGAATCCTACGAAGGCTGGTTAGCTCTGCAGGCACACAGAACCCCTGCCCATACTTGGGTCATAGCTCATGTTCAATAAATCCAGTGTTCATGGGTGTTGCTTATATATTATTATCTATACTGTTTGACAGAGATAATTTCTGAAATATCTCACAGATAATTCTGTGTTTAAAGCACAGAATACAATATTAGCATGACTACTCAATATTAACACAGGTTATTTCAGGTAAGATGGATTTAAAACAATTGTCCATCTCTTTGTAGTTTGCTTTATTACTTGATTCATTGTTGTTGTTGGTTTTTTACTGGGTAAGATACAAATACAATATATCATTTTAACCATGTTTAAGTTTATAGTTCAGTGGAGTTAAGTAAATCCACAATGTTGTGTGACCATCACCACTAAGAACCGGCAAACTGTTTTCCACAGCAGCTGAGTCAGTTTACATTACCATCAGTAAAGTACAAGGGTTCCAATTCTCCCACATCCTCACCAACACTTGTAATTTTCCATTAAAAAAAAATAACAGCCATCCTAATGTGGATTGAGGTGGTATCTCACAGTGATTTTGATTTGCATTTCCATAGCACTAATAACGTTGAACATTTTATGTGCTCATTGGCCATTTGTACATCTTCTTTGGAGAAAGGTCAGGTCAAGCCCTGTGCCCATTTTTAAATTGGACTGACATTGTGTTGTCATTGTTGTTGAGCATTACATGTTTTTATATTTTGATTTTTTATTCTGAGACAGAGTTTTGCTCTGTTGCCTAGGCTGAAGTGCAGTGGTGCAATCATGGCTCACGACAGCCTCAACCTCTAAGGTTCACGCAATCCTCCCACCCAGCCTCACAAATAACTGGGTGCATCGCACCTGGCTAATTTTTTATTTTTTTGTAGAGATAGGGGTCTCACTATGTTGCCCAGATTAGTCTCAAACTCCTGGGCTCAAGAGATCCTCCCATCTTGGCCCCCCACAGTGCTGAAATTACAGGCATAGGCCACTATGTCTGGCCTTACTTCATATTTTTTATAATGAATATGCACTATTTTAATTAAAGTAAGTCCATACTCTAAAAAAGGAAAGCTAAACCTGTTAACATATATTTAAAGTTTCATAATAAGTGCATTAACAAGGCCAAAAAAGTAAGCTTAGAATATTTTTCTTTTTTCTGGAATAGTTTTAAAGTATCACAATTGGCTGGACGCGGTGGCTCACACCTGTAATCCCAGCACTCTGGGAGGCCAAGGCGGGTGGATCATGAGTTCAGAAATTCAAGACCAGCCTGGCCAACATGGTGAAATCCCATCTCTACTAAAAATACACAAATTAGCAGGCCATGGTGTCAGGCACCTGTAATCCCAGCTGCTTGGGAGGCTGAGGCAGGAGTATTGCTTGAACTCGGGGGGCAGAGGTTGCAATAAGCTGAGATCATGCCACTGTACTCCAGCCTGGGCGATAGAGTGAGACCCTGTCTCAAAAAAAAAAAAAAAAAATCACAATTAAGTTTCATGTTATTTTTTCTTGATTATTCTGGGATTTTGTTTTGATTTTTGAAGGAGTATATGTGGGTGTGTGTATTTGCTCACTTGATAGATTTACGTAAAGGCAGCAATTTATCATATTTTGAAATTCTTCATATTGAATTATATTTTGAATTAAATCTAAAGAACATTGAACACAGATTAAGGATTTAAGAATGAATTAATTTACCTGGCATTCTAATATTTAATTATAAGTGTTTATTATAGTATTTAATCACCACAAATATCCCAGTTTAAAAAAAAAATTTAGTTTATAATTTAGAAGTAAAATATGTTGCCCACCCAAAAAGGTAGTAACTATTCCATATGCCCAAGGGAATATTTTTTTTTCTTTTGAAGCAGAGTCTTACTCACTCTATCACCCAGGCTGGAGTGTAGTGGTACCATCTTGGCCCACTGCAATCTCTGCCTCCCAGGTTCCAGTGATTCTTCTGCCTCAGCCTTTTAAGTAGCTGAGATTACATAGGCATGCACCACCACACCCGGCCAATTTTTGCATTTTTAGTAGAGACAGGGTTTCCCCATGTTGGCCAGGCTGGTTTCAAACTCCTGAGCTCAAGTGATCTAGCCACCTTACCTCTCAAAGCGCTATGATTACAGGCATGAGTCACTGTGCCTGGCTGGAATTCTCTTTTTTATATATTTTCTCTGTGTTTCTACTGCATCAGGCTAAATTAAATATTAATATAAGGCCAATAAAATGACTCATATTTCTCTTCCTTCTATTTCTAAATCCAAGGTTAAAGTTAGGCTTATATGTGAAATTCTTTTGGTCTGTCGTGATTTTCCTATATTGTTTAGTTTAGACAGTAGCACAATGAGAATTTTGAAAAATTTTTTAATCTACAAATTTATATAAATAAAAGCTAAAGTGTCCATGTGAAATATCTGTTGGAATAAACTTATTCGATGAATGACCTTCAATAAGGTCATTTTTACTGGAGAAGAAAATAAATTCTCAAAAATAGCACCCCAAATTTCTAGTCCTTAAATTGCCTCTTAGTGCTTCATAATTATCAGTCCCCATGTGTTTCTCTTCCTCTAAAAAGACATGTTTTTACCTCTGACACTTATTAAACATGGAGACTTTACTTTTCTAACTGCAAGTTTCTCTTAAAATTACAGGGGAGGGGAGGGGGAGGAAGCTGAGGGGAGGGAAGGGAGAAATTTTTCTTACCTGCCTGTCCATTAGGTATCCAGAGATCCACAGTGAGTGAATGCATTAAAATTTAGAGTTCACAAATAAAAGCAATCCGAATAGTTGCCACAATATCTGATAAACAAGGCCTCTAGTAAGGAGCAAATGACATCACTGGGGCTCAGTTGAAGAACCCAACATATAGTATGTAATCTTATATCCAGTACTAAAAATAACAATTCACACATTAAACTCAATTATCTATAAAACAATTGTCTGCTCTATAAAAACTGATGAAATGGTGTGAATATATTTTTGAAATTTAACTTAAAGATAAATCTTTACAATGCTTCCATATACACAATTTATAGCTTTGAGTTCCTTGTCTATTTTTCTTATTCTAGTGCCATACTGGAAACATTACTTTTTAATTTTTATTTTATTTTTTTACATGGTTTTGCCATGTTGCCCACGATGGTCTTGAACTCCTAGGCTCCCAAAGTATTGGGATTACAGGTGTGAGCCACCATACCTACCCTGAAAACACTCCTTTTAATTCCTACATTGCAATCCAGTTATGAAAAAAATAAAAACAGAAACAAGAAGTCATCAAAAATAAAAATTTAAAAAAAAATAGCCTCACTGATCCTTTCCAGTCATTCATTCAAAAAATATATCAGGGCTAACCATGCAGCAAGCAATAGGAATACATATATGACTGAAGGGAGCACCTACTATCAAGAAACTCATAGTCTAGTGAAGGAGCTTACAAAACACCCTCAAAACCATCACAACTCTCATTTAATTTGTTGTAACACAATGCAGGCCAAATTATTTTATTTTGCATGCCAGTGACATATAGAAATCACTGGGAAGAAAATGTCTAATTTTCCCAATGACAGAAAAAAAACCTCATCCATTCTTATATTACAAGCATATAATTTATATACATATTAC